ACTTCTAAGTGTAGTGACTGTAAATGTTTATCTCTCAGTCATGGTATAATGTAACAACTCATATTTGTAAAATGTAATAAACTACACTTCAAAATTTCAGTTTCTAATCAAGCATTTAGCTCTTTTTAATACTTGGAAGTATTTTAACACCAATTCCGGTTATAAATCCCCAATTTATACGTTTTACGACTTCAATAAATTGAATTTTTTGTATGGATATATTAGGATATCAACTTGGACACGGTACCACAAAAGCACAAAACTTGCATAATAATCAATCTATAAAACATTATCATTATATCCATTTGTGGAGATGATTACATGTCATACCCCACCATATGCAGTTCTCCTAATCAGTTGAATTATATTATATCTTGTTTGTTGTAAGTTGAAACCAAATTATTATTGGTTAAATATCATTTTCCAATAATTGTTAAAAGAACATCCTCAATTATTGTAATGTGGATTATGTTTGTACTACTGTCTATATATGGATCTAAAGACCCTAGTGAGATATATTATAATAGGATCGAATGGATTATGTTCCTAGCTTAAATTGTAAGGCATCTTTAAGATCGGTTTAAATATATACATTTCGAGTAGATAATCATTGGCTCTTCCATATTACTAAAAATTTAACAAAACAATGATCTCATATATTGTACACTATTTCCCCAAAATTCCTCATTGTATTCTTTAGACTACACCGAGCTACGAGAACTGTGGCACCAAAAAAAAAGCTACAACCTGAAAATATTTTATTCTGTTATTAGTTTTCAGTTTGAAATAACAATAACTTAGCTTTTGAAGTTTTAAATATTCCAAAAAATAAAAACTCGATAAGAATGATGGCATTCCACATGCAAATGCTAAGGTCAACCCACCCTAGAAGATGATACAGCTGAGTTTCTAGTTTCTACCATATTCAATACCTCAAGACTTTCTCATTCTTCTCTGATTGGTTGATGATTGCTGTTCTAGACTTTTTTTCGTTTGCCTATTTGACCCGTTTGTGTGCAGTCAGCAGATACTATAGGTGTACATTTGTCGTTAATTGTTTGTTATTAGCCGGTCAATTTTTTGGATTAGGTTTTTGAAAAATTATACCAACTGTTATATATGGTGATCTTTGTTTACGTAACAAAATATTGTACGTTATTCCACAAATGTTCTTAATGAATTTAGACGTAAAAAGAAAACACATCCTAAAAAAATCACAACCCACCAAAGGAAGTTTATACTCCGTACAAAATATTGTATGTTATTCCAAAAATGGTCTTAATGAACTCAGACGTAAAAACACATCCTCAAAATGTTCTTGCTTTTCTATCTCGTATATCCTCGTCGATGTCACGATGTGATTCTTGTCATGACTTAAATGTCCCTCCTTTTCATATTTCATTCTTGCCATCTTTTTGTCCCCAACAAAATTATTTTGGTATGAATTTATTATATATTAGGAAACATGAATTCTCAACGACACAAATTCTGGTTATGAACGCTACATAACCACACATGCGAACTAACAAAATGTTATGTTAACAACACCAAAAAATGTATAATACATAATGACATTTACCAACAATCGGAAAATATGTTGCAAACATCTCAAGAACACCTATGAATCGTTTCATTGTTATTGAGTAATCTCGATATTTTCTCAGTCGATATTATTGTACACAAGCTAATTATTGACATGTTTTCGAGATGCAAGTTAGTTAATTTATAAGATGAACCAAAGGTCCAAAGTGAATATAACTAAGGTTTCACTATCGCTACTCTAAAGACTGATAGGTAAGTTACGAAAATAATACATAATGCCTTTCTCTCCGGTGGATTAGTAAAAAACAAAAAATGTCCATCAAGTTTATGCTACAATATATATATAATAATATTCCTATAGATAAAGTCAAAAAGAAAAACATATGTAACGTTTATTCTTATTTGCTGAATGCAGAAGCGAGCAGACAATTGAACACTGGGCCATTAGTGATTGTGTGTACAGATGGTAATGGAATCACTCTCTTATCCAACAGAAAAGAGAAAAGGAAAAAAGAAAGAAAGATTGCTTCCTTAGTAATACAAATGGAATTTATTATTTTTAAACCTTATGAAAATTAAATTCAGTCTCCAAATTCATATATTACTAAGAATATATATGCGCCTTTGATACAAGTATTTTCACACTATGATCACATATTGTTCACAGAAAAGCATTCAGCTATACATTCTATACAAGCTAAGAAAATATACTATCTACTTTTTTAAAGATTTAATGATACGACGAAAACTTTTTTCAAGTATGATAATGACTTTTTGGTGTTATAAACGCTAATGAGATAGATAATCAACCGCTTGCAGTAGCATGAAGTCCAGTTTTTTTGTTATTATAAAATGTTGTTCTGGAAGAATAATTTACGGCTTAAGCTTGTATCATACTTCATACAGTATATGTATGTTATCAGAAGTCTGGCTTTTACGCAAAAATAATCACTATTTTCATCAAAAATAAAATAAATTCATTATACAACATGTAAGGATATCTTAACACATTCATTTTTTAAAATGTTATTATGAAAGTTAACACTTGTGTTTTTTTTATTATTATAGGCGGATATCTTGTGTTTTTTTTTTTGTCAACAAATAGAATAGTTGCTTATAAAAAATAAAAAACAGATTAGTTTCCTTATTCTGCATCGTTTAAATGTTATAAGACGGATATTTTAGCCCATTGTGATAAGGTCAGAAATGTTCATTTTTCTTTTTGTAAACTTCTTATTCTTTGACTTGATTATCAATCCGCTTTTTTTAACTAATTGTGAAATTGACAAAAAAAAATATCTAAGTAATTAACTAGAACAGATCATATTAATGACCCATTAATTAGAATTCATTAACTCTAACTTCTATGCATGCTTTGCATAGATAAGTTGATGGGTAGATGCATGCATAGAGGTTAGAGAGGTTGGTAAACCAAATCAACTAACTACACTTTTACATACATAGAAATATAAATCTTATATGTTATTTGATATTTCTGTCGACAAAGAGAAAATATGATATAAACTTTTAGTTATATTGATGGTAAACTAGAACGATTAACATATTTCGTCTGGACTTGGTAGTTCATTTACGGATTTGTGAATTATTCGAAAGTGAGCTCGTAATATATAAAGAATAAATGAGAATAATTACGCATGGTATATAATTAATTAGATGATACGGGAATTCGGGTATCTGGTGCTGCTAACTAAAAAAAATTGACTAGACTAAGTTTATATTTGGTAAATAAGTAGTAATTTTGCTTCGAACCAAAGTTAATCAAATGCTTATATATATCATTAAAAAACTAATGTCTTGCTAATCATTGTCTATCTAATTATGTTCATGACAGTACCCAATCTGCTCTTGATTTTATGAAGAGTAGCATAAAAATATTGTGAATACATATATAAAGAGGAAGTGAACAAACGATATGCATAAAGAGGAAATTGAACTAATTAAAGAACAAAAGAGTCTATATATGGAAATGTTTACGTTTGGCTGTCCATAGTTTTGGAATCTATACCTTTTTATTAATTTCTTTTGTCAAATACCTTTTCATTAATTTAAAGTGTTGATTAGTGTAACCACCTACACGTAATATATGTATTTCTTATATATATATATATATATAAAATACCCCGTATATTTATTTATATACAATCTGCATGGGTATACAGGTAAAGACCCTTTGGTGTCCATTTCATGCTTAGTTGTCATTTTTATTAAATTTGGCTTTAATCATCCAAAATGACAAATATACCCTTTTATGCCCCTAATCATAGAGTATACTAACTATACGCTAATATTTGTCACATGTCAATTTTACTCTCATTGGATATGAACAGCTACAAAGATAGAAAGCCATTTACAATTTCTGATTTATACTAAATTTAGGGAAGAAAAAGAGAGGTACATATATAATTATGATCAAATTAATGGACCCATGGATTAAGAATCTTGTCATGTCTATTCGGTATGTTGCAGTTGATCATTGCGATTAGTTAATCCATTTGATATCGTACTTTGATTGGATTTCCATTGTTGATCATCTTGTTTTTTTTTTGTTACCACTATATAACTCGCATCTCAAAATAAACTCGTAGAATGAAAAGAAATTCAGTCAAAAAATTTAGATTCATAATCACTGAAGTTGCTATACATTGCCTCCACTAGACTTATTTTTAGAAATCTATAATTCTTTTGTCAACCACAAATTTATAGACTTATAGTAATATTTAGCTTTATTTGCTAACCCTGATTCGGAAGAAAATAGAGATTGGTATTTATTAAAACAAATAAATTTTAGAGGAAATTTGATAAGTGAAATTTAGACTAAATAATAGATTTTAGTTATGAAAATGTATTTTTGTTTTAAAATTATCAAAAATGTTAAATGTGATTGTTTTATCTATCTAAAACTTATCTGATGTTTTAGTTAATAATAGATTTTAGTTATAAAAATTATCTAAAAATTAGATTTTTTAATTGTATCATATCTTCATATACATACTGTAGGGATATTCAATCCATCCATATTTTAAGTTTTAGAAAGATAATTAAAGTAAATGCAGTGGTAATTACTGTTCATTTCTAGAAAAAAAAACAATCATTTCAGTTTGATTTGGATTAGATTTTTTTTTTAAAGAAATACTCAACCATTCTGATTATATCGACTTTTAATTCATCCCATACTTTTTTACGTCAACTAATAATCTGTAAACAAGTTCTTGGACCAATTTTTGTTTCAATTTGATTCAAATCGGTTAGGTGTTTCTTGATCGGTCATATCCTTAAATACTCATTAATAATTTATACATTATTTTACAAATAAACATTGGCAAAACTGTGGCCTACTAAAAAAACAAGGGTAAATTCGGAAAATAGAGAAGAGAAATCAAAAAAGATTATTGTATAAACTCTTCGGTATATAAAGACCACGAGCGTGGAAGCCAAAGAGCAGTTTTCTCTCACCAAAACAAAGAAGAAATCTCTCTATATTGATTATGTCAAAAGATTTATGCAATTAATAAACACAAAATTGTGAATCTCTTCTTCTTCTTTTTTAATCAAAGAAAGAATAGGAATATTAGAAGAAAAAAATGTCTAAATCATCGTACAAGATCATGTTCTTCTTAATCATCATCGTCTTCTTGGGTTTGGGTTTAAGATCATCAGCGTTTACGAATCTAAACACTTTAAGCTTTGAAGAATCACTTTCTCCTCTCTTCGGCGATGCCAATCTCGTTCGTTCACCTGATGATCTCTCCGTTCGTCTCCTCCTCGATCGATACACCGGTATATACACCTATACATATATATAATTTTGATGATCTTTATCATTTTGAGGATCGTAATTAATAATGATGATTAATATATAGGTTCTGGTTTCATATCATCGAATATGTATCAACATGGATTTTACAGCTCCATGATCAAGCTTCCCGCCGATTATACTGCCGGCGTCGTCGTCGCCTTTTATGTAACTCCCCGGCCATTTACTTTTTATTTATTTTCTGTTTATGTTAAAAACTTTTTTTTTTGGCTTTTGATAACAAAATAGTTTTTAATCCTTTTCTTTTGTGACCAAAAGTGTTCAATTTTCTTGGGAAAACAACAATTTAAACTCATTTGATCTATTAAGAAATCTCTAGGTTGTTTTTTTTTTTTGCCGAGAAAATCGTCATTGAAAATGGAATAACAAACGTTTTGGTCGAGGAAGGTTGCCTAGAAAATAGTCATTAATTTTTTTCGAGAAAATAGTTCCATTATTCTCGAGAAAGAAAGAAAGAAAAAAAACCATCTTTAATCAAGAGTTCAAGACTTTGGGATCTAACTTTGTTTGTTTTTTTTCTTTTATCTCTATGTCTAATGAAAAATTAAATTTAAATTTGATATGCAGACATCAAACGGAGACGTGTTCGAGAAAACACACGACGAATTAGACATAGAGTTTCTAGGGAACATAAAAGGAAAGCCATGGAGGTTTCAGACAAATCTATACGGAAACGGAAGTACACATAGAGGTCGTGAAGAAAGATATCGTCTCTGGTTCGATCCTTCTAAAGAGTTTCATCGTTACAGCATCCTCTGGACTCCTCACAAAATCATGTAAGCATTTTTTTTTTTTGTTTAAATCGATTCATTTTTTTTTTTAATTTCCTCCCGGTTTAGTTCCAATACCGTTGACCAAACCCGGTTCATAATTTTTTTCATGACACAGCTTGATGAGAAAGAAAGAATGTTTGTCTTTCTGAAAACGTTTCTTTCTTTTTTTCCTAGTATATAGTTAATGAATCTATCTTAGGAAAATTGATATTTTATGGGTTTTGTTTTTCGAATTTTCTTTTCCTCATTTGAATTTTTAATAGTAAAATTGAAAGTGAGTCAGCTTTTTTCCAAAACAACTAATTCGGCCTCACTATAAGAGATCAGCTTTAAATTTATCTTTTTTTAACGCGTAATAATAATCCTTAGTCACTAGTCACCACGCGTAGCGTATTGATTAAAAGCCGAATTAATTGTTCAGAAAACCTGACTTTCTATTTTGACCTTCTTGTTCTTTATATTAAAGGAGAACCAGAAACGTTAATCAGAAAACTAAAAAATATAAAATCTTTAAAGAAAAACAAATGAAACGAAATAAACTTTAATGAGAATCAACTAATGCCTAGAAATGTCATTATACATCTATATCTTTATAGACTCTCTTTTTTCTTTTTTCTTTTTTAATTTGGGAAAAACAATATTTCAATCATAACTAAAACACTTGTCGACCAAAAAAAAATCACACCTTAAACATTTGATCAACTCATTATTTTCTGATTATTTTAATTAGCTCTTGTTAAATTTTTCACTAACAATTGAGAAATTCTTTGTCTTTTTTTTTAATTGTTTTTCATTTTTTGACAATTATAAACTTTGAAATTTTTCTATGTTGGTAATTTAATTAATCGAAACTTTTAAAACATTATGATCAGATTTTGGGTAGACGATGTGCCAATAAGAGAAGTGATAAGAAGCGAAGCAATGGGAGCAGATTATCCGGCGAAGCCAATGTCTCTCTACGCCACCATCTGGGACGCCTCCGATTGGGCTACTTCCGGCGGCAAATACAAAGCTAATTACAAATTTGCCCCTTTCGTCGCCGAATTCAAATCCTTCTCCCTCGACGGCTGCTCGGTCGATCCGATCCAAGAAGTCCCCACCGATTGCTCCGATTCCGTCGAGTTTCTCGAATCGCAAGACTACTCCTCCATCAATTCTCGTCAACGCGCCGCCATGAGAAGATTCCGGCAACGGTTCATGTACTATTCTTACTGTTACGATACGGTTAGGTACCCGGAGCCACCGCCGGAGTGCGTGATTGTTCCGGCGGAGAAGGATAGGTTTAGGGATACGGGGAGGTTGAAATTCGGTGGTACGGAGGCGCGTGAACGGCGGAGGAATCGCCGGCAGCAACGGCCGGTGATTGAGAGTGATCCTGACGAAAGAAGACTTTTATAAGTTTTGTGCCGTTTTTTTTTTACTTGTTAAAATTGGTTTGTGAGTAATAATAAAAGAGTAAAGATTTGGAAAGAAAAAAAATAGAGAAGATGTAACATCAGTGTAATTTATAAAATCAAATCAAAAATATTTATATTAAGGCCAGTTAAGCCCAATCAAACCCACAAACAAATGGTTTAGACGATCTAAATGGCCGATTATATTGTGTTCTTGTCATTTGTCAACGAACGAGTAAGCTACATTTTGTAAAACATACTTCTTAAATATTGATGACTTTATTTCATGCTCAGTTTAATTGTCTCTTTTAACACTTAGAGTTAGAGAAATATGAATTATGGTCATGATGATTTTGATTAATTTTGCAGAATTTACTAAAAACCCAAATATAATCGCACCAGGGTCATGATTCAAAAACTAAAAACCGTCTGATGCCATACTATATATAAGATCAAAATGTGCTTGATTAAAATGAAGACATTTTTGTTTGTGTGAGAAAATGTTGAAGCAATGTCGCATTAACAATCTCAACTCTAAAACCATATTATATTTTGGTGACCAGTCAGAAACAACTTTGATCGTGAAAATGTGATGAGACAAATTACATGCACAAGGCCACCTGTACGTGACATCAATTTTGTTTCACTTTTCCAAGTGAGATTCACTGTGAAAATGCTGGTATAAGATTAAGACCAAATAAAAACACTGATGCAAAATGCTTAGCGTTTGAGCACAATGGAGACATTATTGTTGTTAGAAAGTGCTGAAGGCATCTGAAGCAACTCTTCAAACAATTTCGCATCATCAAAGCCGTTGATATCTTGCAACCCTACAACCAATGTCTCTAGTGTCTTTCCGTTTCTCAGCACCATTCTTATGAACGAAGCCAAGAGTTTCCACATATCCTCCTTACGGCAATTCCACATGATCCAACCAAAATCATCTGAAGTAGGAAACACCTCATCGTATCCTGATCTCAAAAATTGATCTGCATTCAAGCCTTGTACATACAAATAGCTGTCCAAGTTACTATCCTGTAGAGCATAAAAAGTTATCCCAAACCATATACTAACACAATTGTTATTTTACAAACAAAAAAGTGAGAGGAAAAATGGTTCTTGGAATCATCCTAATCCGTTATAAGTTTGCATTGTCTTAAGTATCTTAATATAAGAGAAAAATAAAAGAGGTTTATGGTAAAGATACCTCTATGCCGCACTTGAACTTCTTTAATCCAGGTGAATTTTGTAGTAACCTTGTGATACCAGGAATAACAGACTGAACAAGCTTGGTTTCAACAGTCAAAGTTTGGACCTTGAACGTTGGGAAAGTAACTCCACGAAACTCGGCGAGAGATAGAATCTAGCAAAATGACAAAAAGGTAGGGCTAATTATGAAACATGATGATCTACATGCAGAAAAAAAAAACATAAACAAAGAACTATATATAGTTTAGCAAGTTTATGTTTTCAAGTCATACATGAAGAAATATTCCCCCAAGAGAAAACCTCTCAATGTTTTGCAATTTTGCTAACATCTCTAGCACCATGATTTGAATAAAATCAGTGTTCAGAAGAAAAGCTCTGTCAGCAATGGAAATGTCAAAGTTAGCTTTGGTCAAAGAAGAGACATCGACTAAAGTACATGGTGCCTCAGAGCATGTCAATATCAAATTATGGATGTGCGGCCCTACAATCTTGATTGGTTCTTGGTCCCTATAATTTATACGCGTTCCAGAGTTGCAATCTATTTCCAATGTCCTAAGACTCGGTGATTTACTCAGATCAAGAGGATCAGGTAAACCACGAAACATAAACAATGTCAAGGTTTCGAGAACTGGACATCCAGAGAGGATATTAGCCATAGATTTATCTTTATCAAGATAACAGAAACTCAATGTCAAGTTCCTCATGGATTTCCAAGACACTGTGCATATAGGAATCCTATAAACAGGCACATCGAGTTGCTTTAAGGAGGAGCCACGATAGAAGCAATCTGGGAAACAATAAGTGTGGTGCACGGAAGCTCAGAGACAGCTTCTCCACATTGTGGGACATAGCGAACTCGGCCCAGCTATCAATATCGGGTCTAGTAACAGAACGGATCAGATGAAGGTGGAGACTCATGATTTCCGGAGCCCTTAGAAACTTAGAGTTTGGTTTATCTTTCGAGCCGTCACGTCAAAGTAGCGAATATCAAAGTAGAGACAAGATGTACTGTACCATACGTCCATACATGCCTCCATCGTCTGGACAAGACCGAAGTTCTGATCGCCAGATCGATGGGAACAAAGGAGAGAATATGTATGAGGATCTCATTGTTGGAATAAGCTTGAAAGAAACTTGAAGTGCAAGTTTCGTAATCCTAATCAAAGTGTATTTTTAGAAGGTTAGGATTATAAAAGTAAATTTAGGAATTATCTAAAAGGAAATTTGTTTATCTATTGAAATTAGGAGTTAGCTAATCCATTCTCTATATAAGGAATTGCAGAGTTGCTGCAAATACTTATGAGATTTGAGAGCCTTTAGTTTTTGAGTGATTTTTCTAAAAGTTAATAAAATAGAGTTATTCTTTTACAAATCTGTGTTCTTAAACTTCTTTGAATTCTATAATTGGTATCAGAGCTTCAGGTTGTTGATCGACCTCACGCAGAGACAAAACACCTTTGATAACGAATCATATAATATCAGGATATGGGGGATATCGTTCCTAGTACTCGTACGAAAGCGCTGAATACTTCATCAATCCATTGCCCTATGTTAAACGCAACCAACTATACCGTATGGGCCATGCGGATGAGGGTTTTGCTTAGAGTACACAAGATCTGGGAGACTGTTGAAACAGAGGCAGCCGATGGTGAGAAGAACGATGTTGCTATGGCCCTGATCTTTCAATCATTACCCGAGACGCTCATTCTACAGGTAGAAAAGTTAGACACAGCGAAAAAAGTATGGGATGCAATCAAATCAAGACATGTAGGAGCAGAAAGGGTGCGAGAGGCAAGGTTGCAGACGGTTATGGCCGAGTTTGACAAACTCAAGATGAAGGACACAGAGATGATAGATGATTTTAGTGGAAAATTGTCCGAAATCTGCTCAAGGTCGGCTGTTTTAGGAACAACTATTGAGGAACCGAAGATTGTCAAGAAGTTTCTCAAAATTCTTCCGAGAAAGTAATACATACACATGGTAGCTTCACTTGAGCAGGCATTAGACTTGAACACCACAAGCTTCGAAGACATAGTCGGAAGACTAAAAGCTTACGAAGAACGTATTCGAGAAGAAGAAGAAGAAGAAGAAACGCAAGACGATCAAAGCAAACTCATGTACGCAAACATGAAACCTCAGGAAAATCGTGACTACATTGGAGAAAATAGTGGCAGCGGTTGAGGAGGACGCTTCTATAGCAGAGGTCGAGGTCGTGGACGATTCAATGGAGATAGAGATTAGTCGGAGATAACATGCTATCGATGCGACAAAACAGGGCATTACGCTTCTAATTGCCCTGACAGACTTCCCAAACTTGAAGAGACTCAGGAAGACGAAGACGTTGATGACACACATGAAGCTGAACGACTCATGATGCACGAGGTGGTGTATCTGAATGAGAAAAGCGTGAAGCCAAACGAGTTTGAAAAAATCTGTGAAGGTGACAATGTTTGGTATTTGGGTAATGGTGCTAGTAACCATATGACTGGAAACCGAAATTACTTTTCAAAGCTTGACGAGACGGTCACAGGAAAAGTAAGATTCGGCGATGACTTTCGGATAAACATAAAGGGGAAAGAATCGATCCTCTTTGTTAGTAAAGATGGAGGGAAAAAGGTGCTTGCTAATGTCTATTTCATACCAGATTTAAAGAGTAATATCATCAGTTTGGGACAAGCAACAGAGGATGGATGTGATGTTTGGATGAGAGGAGATTATCTGACATTACATTATAAAGATGGAAGACTCCTTGTAAAGGCAAACAGGACACATAATCGCTTATATAAAGTTATCATGGAGGAATTGCATGGAGCTGCATTGAAGCAGGTTTTGAGCTAGGTATTTTCATGGAACTCTCAGTATTGTTGGAATAAGTTTGAAAGAAACTTGAAGTGCAAGTTTCATAATCCTAATCAAAGTGTTTTTAGAAGGTTAAGATTAGAAAATGAAATTTAGGAGTTATCTAAAAAGAAATTTGTTTATCTATTAAAATTAAGAATTATCTAATCCATTCTCTATATAAGGAATTACAGAGTTGTTGCAAACCCTTATGAGATTTGAAAGCCTTTAGTTTTTGAGTGATTTTTCTAAAGATTAATAAAAAAGAGTTATTCTTTTACAAATCTGTGTTCTTAAACTTCTTTGAATTCTATACTCATCTGGCATATAATTGATTGAAGAATCCATTGCATGTTTGATTTCACGGTAGCTAGGGTTTCTTCGACGTGGCATTGTCTCTGTCGCCTCCTATCAGGCATATAAATAATATAAATATTTGCAAATAAATTTATGTTTTAGGGTTTTCTTTTTTTCTGTTTCTACTAAAAAATAATGTGAGTGGGCTCCTGCCTATATACACCGAAATTTGCGCAACTGGATCTTTTCATCTGAGGTTTATTTCTTAGTTACTTTTTGGGAAAATATATAATTAACACTCAAATATTCATTATACATCTATGTTCTAAAACGTAGATACGCTTAAACCATTCTTGCATCTTGGCATCCTCAAAAACTCCTATCTTTTTGTATGTAAGCCTTGTTCCTAAAGTATGCGTAAACCTTAACTGAAACATACATTACAAAAGCTGTAGCAGTAGAATATCAACAGCAAGAAAGGGAGCAAAATAATATAAAGAAGATTAACGAGATCAATGTGTTCTTGAGAGTTAGGAAAAAAAAAGACATCCATCAGCAACCAAACCAATAAAAGTCAGAAACGATCAACTGAAGAAAAACACTTAGAACCAAACAGCCAATTAGCCACAAAGTTATTACAGAAACATCACATTCTCAACATGGTTTGTAAGGTGAAGAGTTCTTCAGGGGGACCTTGACCCATCAATAATTATGTTGGTCTTGCTTTTTTGTGAAAGATATGCATAGTTTAAGAAAAAATCTTTTGTGGTTGTTATACTTTAACATGCACTGATAGCTTTGAGTGTTACCAATCTATTTCATAAGCAGATTACCCAGTTTGTAAACATTTGGATAAAGAGATTAAAGATTATTGAGTTGATATTTCAGTGTGCATGAATTTTTGGTTGTTAGTTGCATTTGTCAAACTATCTAACTTTATTGAGAAGTATCATGGGTGGAACGAATATGCAATGACAATATATCTTTCCTCTTTTTTTCACTCACGACCGTTATCAAGCTAGTCATGAAGCTATATGGGCGAGAAGATTTCTTTGGAGTAAAGATTCTTTCATGCGGTGGTCAGACTTGTCTTAATAATTTTGACAACTTTAGGTTAGATATGGAAATATGGACCGATGCAACTTATCATCAATTAAAACTTATTGTTTTAGAGCATGTTTATTGCAAAAAAACCCATATGAGTTTCTTAATAAATATTTTAATATTAAATTTAACTTAAGAAATCCATTAATATTGGGAGAAAACTATTTTAGGTTTTTAGAAAAAAAAAAACTGATTTATTAGAAAACATTAATGATATAATAAATTTTAACAGTTTCACATACAAATGTTGATCAAAATGTTGATCAAAATCTTCATCAAATGATCCATCAAAAGTATTATGAGAAGAAGATGCCATAATTGAATTTTTATTGCTGTATTTTTATTAATGTAGTGGATTTGCTCAAGAAAAAGAAGAGAATGAGAGAAGGATCGACAAAATGAAAAGGATCGACAAAATAGAAGAGAATGTGAGAAGGATCAAACCACATTAATGTGAAATTATAAAGACATTGTATGCAAATATATAAAGTATCGACAGTAAGAACACATGTGACTCCTCTTGTTTGAATATGCCCATATGTCCCAAAATGTTGCAAAAAAAAAATTCAAAAAACCAAAACCACAGTCCCAAAATCTTGTGACTCCTCTTGTTTGAATGTACCCACATGTCACTCCTCTTGTTCGAATCCAAGCAGAAATCTTATGCATCTTTGCCTTCAGTGTATTTAGACTGTCCTGCATTTGGACCCTGGTGCTGCTGTGATCAGGCTTAACCTGCTGTGAGAAACAAAAAAAACTCCTCAAAGAGAAAATGTGTTCAGTGTTAAGCATTATCCAAATGGACTTACTACTTCACTCAGCAACAATCTGAACATAACAAAATAAGTTCAACCCAAAAAGAAACCACCTGACATTGACTTTAAACAACTTGGTTCGATTTCAAACATAACAAACTTAAACTATTACACATAGTCGAATTCAATCATAACAAATAACAATTTCAAACTTAACATGAAACACGAGACATACAAATCTATAACACAAACAAGAAAAAGACAAACAAACAACAACTTAAGCTATTACACATACTCGACACATAAACACAACTTCAACTAATTAGCTAACATTTCTGTAATAAACTTCTTCTTTAAAGCTTCTTCATACTCCGATAATGGTTCTTTTTTGGCAATGACACTGTCAAGAAGACCCATCTTCGACAGCCTTTCTTTCATAGCCATATCATTCTCCTTAATGGACCACATGCTCTGAAACTCAGAAAGAGCCTTGCCCTCGACCGTATGTTTTTTACCTCTACCTTTAGCTGCCTTAACACCTGAAGGCCGGTTCACTGCTTGATCATCTTCTCCATTATTTGTCTCCTCTGCAAAAGAGTTTTCGGATTGTGTACCATCCTCAAACATTCTCCTTTTAGAGCTACATATCTGCTTCTTCTTTTTTTTATTTTATTCTAGAATCACAATTACAATTGCTAACATTTCTCAATACTCAATTCCAACAATACTTATGCTTAAAGCAAATGAGAGATGAAGAAACTTTTTTGAAAATTTTCAAAATTTATTTGCATTAACTATGGTTACTTGGTTAGGTTTTGAAAAAAGAATACTTGCAGCCTTGAGCAACAGAACCTAAGTAGGCGGGGTCTTGAGTATAAAAGTGAAGCTCTTATCCTGAAAAAAATACAAGTAACTCTATGAAACAATCACATAGAGCTCTGTGACTCGAGACACATCACTATTCAAATGCTGCTTCTATCACAAGTTTGATAGCACCGTATTTTGACCACTTTTATGGATCATAATGATTTCTTATGCAGGAGTTTTAACTCTGTTTTCAATGGTTTTTTTTTTCAATGTTTTAGAGTTTCAAAAGGCTTTTCAGGAAACTTGGGCAAAAGATATGCAATTTGGAACAAATGAGCAATTTTAGATAAATGCAGACGATCAGAAGTATGGCAAGTGATGAAGACCTTCTCACCGTCTGATCACTCCCACAATTTGAGACAACATATAGTCTATCTTGCTTCCGTCTGATCTGTGTTGGCATAATACATCAAGTCTATCTTGCAAAAGAAGATTACATGGAGAATGTGTTGGACTTCGATTTCATTTCACAAAAAGACTGATACTTTACCAATTAAGAAACAAGTGAGAAGCAAAAAAACGTGTAGGTCTCCGTGTCCTTATCCTCTCAAGGAACACAAGGAGGAGACTTTTGAAGGCTGATCTGTATGCTTGATCCAGGCCATTCAAGATCATCTATTGCTTCTTTCAACGCAGATGACTAATAATACATTAGCAATGCCATTTGATAAAATCAATCTCAGGAGAGAAATAGATCCAATATCAAATCAAAACTAAGTATTCATCGACCAATATCAATTCCTAATGTCAAACACTAAATAATTCTTCAAAAAGAACAATCAATCATTCATCACCTATCTAATAAATCCATTTACTACCTAACACAGCCAAAAACAGTGAATCAACCAAAACAAACAAAAAATAAATACAGAGAATATACAGGGAAGAGAGATAACCTGAAGCTCCAATTCATCCATTTTCTTTGATTTCACAAGCAGAGCGGATACAGAGAAGAGATCGATTTCCCTCGGTGGCCGGAAGAGACATGGAAAGCAATGGAGAATTAATGAGTTGGAGAAAAAAATTTTGCTCGAGGAAGAAAGAAGAAACAACAACAAAATTTCTTCTTAATTCATTGATCCAATAACGCAATGACACGCATCCCGTAAGAACCGTTTCTTACAAATTTTAATTAAGAACTGTTTCTTACATATTGTTTTAATTTTGATTTAATTTTTGGCTAAAAAAACTTAAGAACCCGCGTTAAGATACGGCGTTGAAGATGCTCTTATGTTGGTCATATCTGCATACATTTTTAGTATCAATTATTATGTGTACAAAGTTTGTGCTAAAACATATTAGGCATAGAAGAGAAATATTGATTATGTGTTATTTTATTCATAGTCAGTTACACTTAAGATAATTTCTTTTTTTTCAGCACTCATTTTTACAAAATCTCAATTTAATTTCTTAAAAAATAAAAATTTAAAAACTTTCGAAAACATGGTTTACAACAAAAACTTGAAGAAGTGATTATTTATTTATTTATTTATTTCATAAAAACCTAGAAGTTTGATTTTTATTATCAAATATCATATATGAGTTAATGAAACTTGTCGAATTGTTTCAAGTGACACTCTTTCCTTCACTTACACCTGCTTCAACCTGAAAAAGAGCTCCTTCAGAATAAGCTTCAATACAACCTCTCACCAAATAGGGATCAAACCCTGTTAGAATACAAGCATTCTTTAAATCTATCCAGACAAAAATTGGATTCTGATTAGTCACCATTATTACACAAAGCTTCTAGTAGAAGACTATAACCTCTTAAAACTTCACTGAACTTTCTCACTTAAGTTTTACATGTTATTATATAGTTTTAAAGAATTAGAGCCCTAAATGAAAAAAAAAAATGACAAAACTAATAACTAGAGTCGGTTTTGAGTTTTGTAAGAATAGAAGTAAGAAAAAAAATTGGCCCCTTATTCCAGAATTTTTTACGTTCTCCATGTTGAACTCCAGACCTTGGACTAGTCTAACCCTTTTAAACCATCTGTTCTAAGTCATTTTTTAATAAAATTTGGCCCTAAAATACTTTTAAATTTACTGGCATCAAAGGGGTTTCTACTCAGACCCAGCTCTGCTAATAACACATCATATCACTTATCATTAACACGTGGAAACGGTTGTGTAGCACAACCCTGGTAGCCAGATTTGCAGCTAAGCTTTAACTTTGTTACTGTTACATGGAAGAGCTTGAGGGTGAGCTAGAATGGACTTGACAATATGACAAAGATATTTGACTTCTGTGTGTGGACTTCCTCTGTAATTTTATTCTAAGTTTCAATAAAAGTTTAACTATATTATGGTTGATATCCAAATCACTAAAATAATAATTCGATTGCATCTGATACATCCAATGTATTTAAGCTTTTCTATTTTTGTAATCTTTTGCAAAAACTGCATGACTTTGTGTCATGGTGTGTAATGAGTTTTCTAATTAAAAAAAAATAGTCCGTAATCTCATTGTTTTTTCCATCTAAAATTTTTATTATTAAACTTTAGAGAACTTTACAACAAAACCAACCGCCCAAAATAAGAAACAAAGCCGGTGACACAAATAAATATCCCTGTAAACAAAACTGATAGAAAAACAAATTTTTGCCCTATGAAAGGAAGATGAAAAAACAATTAAAAAAATTACTTTAAAACGCAAATGATCAACCAAGAATACTAAACCAAAACAACTGAACCGAAACTTACCCATGACTTTTCCATAAATCTGAAGACGCTGGAGTTGAACCAATAAATGTGAGATTCGAGAATATCCAAAACCGAAAAATGGCCTAAACCAATCTCAAACGTAGGACCAAAACGAGAGCATAGCCAGGAACTACTCCAAACACGGCTACTCCAAGAATCTGATGCACTCAAGAAGACAAAAGCACGAAGCAAAGAGATTTTGAAACTCCGATTGGGTAAACGACAAGGAGGACCACCAACTATTACATGCAATAAACCGGTCACCTCGTCCCAAGAGAAGAAACTGAAGATGTTATATTATGAAGTCCAAAAAGATTATACGTACATGTGATGTTGTGAAAGATGAAATGATGCAATCTCATCATTAATTTGTAAGATTTTGTTCACAATTTAATCGCCATAAATAACACATTTAGAAGAAAAGTAAGCTATAAGTTGGAGATAGATGACACCATGTTAAGGATCACAGTTTCTCTACGAAAAAAAAAATTGAGAAGCTAATTCATGATATTAATCAATCACTATTTTATAAACCAACCACTTATCCAATAACCCCAAAAATTGAAATCAGTAAACAACAATGGAAATTAAACTCTGATATAAATTGTATGCTCTGTTTCTGTTTCAACACTATTTACACGTCTCTTGTAATCTCTAAGGGAACTGAAACGAACCACCATCAATCCCCGATTTGTTAATGGTAACATAGAGAAGAGTGAAGCAAATAGCGATAAGTCCCGACCAAACATAAACAATGGTCGGAGTTTTCCCTGTTCTTCCCATCAAACCTTTAGCAAACGGATACATATGAACCAAAACCCAACCGGCAAAGAACGTCCCACCAATCAGATTACTCCAATTGGGATTCTCTTTGAAAACCGTTCGACAAACCGCGAAAAGAATCGCCGCAACGTTCAAGACTATAATCGTCAAAGGAGGAAGCATCAGAGACGTCCATTTAAACAGATAAAGATCAGCGAACTCATCATCTTCCTCATCTCCTCCTCCTGAAGAAGATTTCGAAGTCAACGTGAAGGAGATTTCGATACCGGCGATAACTTTTAGTATCCCTTGAAGAACAGCGACTAAATGTGCACTCGTGCCACCGATTAACCAAAACTGCTCGTTCCTCCACCATTCTTCTAAAGAGATACCAGACCATTTAACTTCAAGAACAGCTAAACCACAAAGAGACAACGAGATCGTCAAAAGGTAACTGAGGAACGCTGGATTGAGGCTATCAACGACGAACTGACCGGAGAAGAGACATAACGGCGGGAGGAAACAATACGTTAAGATGAAAACGCTAGTGAACGGGTATATTCCAACGTTGAGGTAAGCGATTCTCTGTAGGAACTTGAGTTTCCTACCGGCTAAAACGGCGTTGTTTCTTGAGAAGAAGATCTCGACTGAACCGGTGGCCCAACGGAGAACCTGGTGGAGCCGGTCTGTTAGGTTTATCGGAGCAGACCCACGAAACGCGTCAGGCTCCGTTACGCAGTAGAAAGATCTCCATCCTTTCTCGTGCATACGAAAACCGGTCACTACGTCTTCGGTCACCGAACCGTAGACCCATCCAACGTTAGTTCCCCATTCCGTCTTGTCCTCGTACCAGCAAGAAACCACGTTAACCGCCTCGCTTACAGTAGCTACTGTAAGCGAGTGGCGGCTTCCGGTTAACGAGCCGGGAGGACGGACCAAGCGTACTGGCCTCCCCGGCTGAATTGTGGCTAATGGTCTACCTTGGAACTCCGCAGCTTTCACCGAGTTCACTAGCATACTCGAGCTACCGAATAGCTTTGGAATCGAATAGAGATCGACCGGATCTTCTTCCTCAACGTCAATGTAGTACTCCGGTTCAGAAGCTACTGTTGCGGGGCTACGTTGTTTGTACTGAGGGTAACAGCAACAAGAGGGTTCTTCTTCCAACAAAACATCAGGCGGGTCGAAACCATAAAGAGCGGTTCGACGGAAGAGACATCCGGTCCCGACGTACATTGGACCTTGGACACCGTCGAGAGCACGCAGGTTAATGTCGAAGAAGACAGTGTTCTTGTTAGCATAGCGATCAGAGGGATCGATTCCTTCGAACCTCTGTGGAAACTGAACGTAGCAAACACGGTCTCCGTCACGGTCCATCATGAAACAGATCCCATCTCTAAAGGCTCTAGAGTTGTTGACGTAATGGTCACAGTCCAAGTTCAATATGAACGGTCCATTTGACATAATAGCCGAGGCTCGGACCAAAGCGTTCATAGCTCCTGCCTTCTTGTTATGTTCATAACCAGGTCGTTTCTCTCGGCTCACGTAAACAAACATCGGTAAACGAATGTCTACTTCTTCGAAATCCAGCGCAAACCCATCACCGCCTCTACCTTTAACCGGTTCGTCTCCAGGAGGATCAAGCAACACCTGCAAACAAACAAACCAAAAGGGTTTCTTGAGTCATACGCAAACGATATATCAAACCAAATAGAGAATCAACAAGTGGTTTGTTAATGACTGTACCTGTATAATACTAGCGTGATCGCCTCTTGAATGGTTTCTACAAGGAACAGACCAAGTACCTGGCCAATGAGTTCCATCACTCATCCAAGTAGCTTTAGGAGCTACAATACTAGGTCTTGGTTCGTTTTCTTGCTCCTCGTCTACTTTCACTTTCCATATCTTCCATTTCTCCAAAGCTTTAATCTCTTCTTTGCTATTAAACGCATCTGATCTCCGTCTAATCGAATGAGGAAGCGCGTTAACACGAACTTTAAACTCCTCGTAGCTTCGTTTCACATACCGTCGCTCTCTAACGAAATCATGTCTCACTTTACCTTTATAAGGATCTCTTTTCAAACCAAAGTAACTCTCTGGATTCCTCGGCTCGATCTTGTGTTTCCTGCAAAACGGTACCCATATTTTGGCGAAGCTAGCAGCTTCAGCCATTGCTTCAAACGTTAGAAGCGATCCTCCATCGTCTGAGATGTAGCAAGAGAGCTTCTCAAGAGGATAATCAACTGATAAAATCGAGAGGATTGTGTTGGCTGTGACCAGTGGTGGCTCTTTCTCTGCATCAGCGGTTGAAACAAAGACATCGATTCCAGGAAGGTCTGATTTACCGGTCGGGTTCGTCGGGTTTGGTAATTCGAATTTGGCCTTCAAGGCTTCGATGTCGGTTCCGTGGTTAACCGGAAACAGCCGGGGGATTTGATCGATTAACCAAGAGAAAGCGAACCAGATTTCGCAGATTACAGAGAGAAACCATAACCAGATTGCTTTATTGTTTGGGTTTCTAATTCTCCATAAGAGAAACAGAACAAGAGATGCGATTCGAACAAATATTAGAACCCTGAAAATAAAAAACACAACTTTGTCAGAAAAACATCCTTAAAGGATCATGCTTTATGTCACATCACATTACATATCAAGTGTTTGTAACAGACACGACTCAGAAGAGAGATAGAGAGAGAGGAAAGGTAGAAATGTACCGATACAGAGCGATGATGATCGGAGAGATTTTGACGACACGGGTCAAAGGTTGAGATATCTTGTGGAGCAAGGCATCGTCTTCTTCACCGATTCTCAGATCGGTTTGATCCGGTTCGTCGTCTTTGTAAGATGAACCGGAATCGATGTCTGTGAGCGCGATTTGAACCGGAGCCGGGTTGTTATCCGGCGTCGGAGGGACAACGACGGTGTAGCTGGCGTACTCGGTGCTGCTTCCGAAATCGCTGCCGATATCTCCGGTGGAATTGGATACGTGGCTGATTCTTGGATATCTCCTAGATGATTCTCCGAACATCATTTTAAATCTTTATTTTTTCCCGTCGCCGGAATCTGGAGATATGAGACGGAAAAAAACGGCACTTTTTATGTTTCTCTGATTTAAGAAGACGAAGCCAGAGATTACTGGAGAGAATCAAATTTTCGAATTCTAGTGACAATTTTGGGGGAGAAATTGATTAGATTGAGATATTGGGAATTAAATCCAGAAGAAACCCTTACCTTATTGGATGATAAATCAGAATCAGTGACGAGATTTCAAAAAGTTACACTTCCTGCTCAAATTTTCATTTACCATAAACGCAAAATTAATGAATTCTTTTTTATGAAAACTTATAATTTTAAATCTTCTAAAGAACATACGAAACCCAGAAGCTGAATTTAATCGGAAATTTATGGTTTTTCTCCGAATTAAAACTCGGAAGTTTTATAATGGAGTGTTGTGTGTACTTATGGGTTTTTTTACGATTGAGGTTTTCTACAAAATCCTCTTAAATGGTCAACAAATGGTGGGAGAGAAGAGAAGAGATTTGTTTCCTTAAACTTAAATTATTAACTCTAAATTTTTCGAAATTATTTATTATTAAAATATTAATTAATTAATACAAATGTCTTTGTGTTGAACAGCTATTAATATGCTTGCAGCAAGAGATGAAGAAGATAAAGGGAGTTTCCATATATGGTCGAAATAAGGAAAACTCAGTAAATGTAAAGGGTGTTTTCGTAATTTGGTCGTTGTTTATGACCTTGTCCACGAGGTCACTTCTGACATGGAAAGGATATAAGATTATGACCAATTTATATATATGGAAACGGTTAACGTTAGTATTCATTTCAAAGTTGAAAAATTAATTACTTATTTTTTTGGTACTATTACTAATTTACTAGCAGACAATTGTCACGATACTCGATAGAAATAGTCTTATGTAAGTGTAACATATGAAATATTGAAACCCAATTCCCTCTGGTTCGATAGAACTATTGAAAATGTGCTTCAGTTCAATGGTTGGATACATTTCGGTTATCACGATTGACGATCCTCGCATTCATGGATCATCACGATTTTAGAATCCATAATTCGATATATTATTACCACAACGCTGATCATGCGTTACACCTATCACTAATCATTCTCACCAACCCATGCGCATATATAAATGATATATTTATCTATGTTATGCATCATAAGTCATAACGAGATTAGTTTAATCTTAGTCGACTAAGATTAAGTCTAATTTTTATCCTCACAATAAAAAATACATTTTTTAACTCGATTAAGTCTAATATTTTATCCTCACAATAAAAAAAAACAAGCGAAAATATAGAAAATATCAGATAAAAATACATTTTTTTTACTCGACTAAGATTAAGTCTAATTTTTCCATATTTCCCATGTATTGATGCTATCCCAAGTATTTTTATTCGGATTCTTCATTCATGAGTGAATGGATTTAACATACAGCAATACCCCTGAAAAAAATCTATGTTGTTTAAGGAATTGCATTCTAAAATATTAACTTTTAAAAAATTATATGAAATCTATTTTAAAATTTGTAGAATTAATAGAAAATTTGATAAAGGAATAGGTGATATTTTCTGTTAATATTTTTATGGTTTTATATTAGATATAAATCTGAAAAAGTAATAAAACTTTATAAAATCTGAAAATATTAAATTTTCAAATTTGACAAAGAAAATATTATTTGTATTTAATTCTTTATTTGTTTTCTTTTTAGTATTAATTATTTTTCAAAATCAAAAAGTTAAAAAAGGGAAAATATAAATATTGATAAAACTGAAAATATCTCCTCTATTTTCTAAATATAATATTCATGAGATCAAGAGCACAACACAAATATTATATTCGTAAGATTAACTATAAGCACAACACGTAGGAAAACGTTTTTTTGAGTAATAGTATAGAGGTATGTGAAATAAGAAAGAACAATCAAATAAGAAATATTCATTCATAGTAAAATAGACATTCATTAATCATCTAGGTTAAAGGGGAGCACAAATTTAGATGATACAAATAGAGGAAAATCAAACGTTTAGGGTTAACCCCAAAAAAAGGTTTTTGATCAGAGGTTGATAGCTCGACTGGAAAGATACTCTGGGGTAATCTAAGAGATCACAAGATTGAGTGGCAGTTGAGACGGGTAAATTATTAAAGGCTGACTGGGGCCTAGGGAGATGTACAGACCTTAGCTCAGAACATCCTAGTTATTCAAAAAAGAAGTTTTAACTTGTATATCAGTTGAATAGCAAAATAGCTCAATAACAGAATAATAAAATACTTGAATCAATAGAACAAAACAACTTAAAACTGTATAAAGTTAAAACAATAAAAAGTATTACTTTTATATAAACTGAATAAAGTTTGTACAAACTACAGTAAAAATCTATAAATTAATAATGTTAGGACTCTCAAATTTTATTAATTTAACGAGTTATTAATTTATAAAAAGATAAATTTGGCCAAAATTTAAATTTGGGACCAAAAAAAATTTTTAATTAACCAAATTTATTAATTTATCGAATATTAATTTATAGAGTTTAGTTGTTTTTTTTACATCGTATGTATAAACTAGTTATAAATCTAAAATGTGCATAATAGATTAGGGTTAGAAAATAGCTATTTATTTCTTTTTTTGATTTTGTGCTTATTATAATGAATAGTATTTATTTGGCGGCAGTGTTCAAGAAAGCGCTAGGCGCTAGACGGGCGGTGATACTGATACAACGCCTAGCGCCTAAAATGCTTAATCGGAGTCTAAGCAATTTTTAAGCGTTTTAAGCGTTTACGGCGTTTACAAAATAAATAAATTTATTATATTGTTTATAAAGTGTAATATATAAAATTACATGGTTTGCTTATAAATAATAAAGTTTACATATTATAAATCTTAAATATATATTTAAAATTCAAATTACACATAAAAACAATTTTTTTTATAAATATCAAATATAAAACGGTTAAAAAGTAACTGCCACGGTATATAAACGCCTAGATCCTAAACGGGGGTTCTATGGACGCCTAGCGCCTAGACGGTGCCTAAGCGGCTGCCTAGACCGACTTTTAGAACACTGCTTGGCGGAATAATTTTGTCAAAACATCAAAACATGTAAACGTGAAAAAATTATATACTATTAAACCAACCTAGAAAGAATAATTTAGAAGACCGATAGTTTCGTTCTTTGGAAGAAACACACAAATTTGCATGGATGATAAACAGTACTTGTGACTTGTGAGTTTTAAGGAACTCACCAAATTTTTTCTAAAACATTTATAAATTTGAAACAGGAGTATAGCATTTTTAGTTACACTTTTAAACTATTTACTACTCGCACTCATATATTGATTAAGTATTAATATATCTTTGTCAATATTTAGCATTAACATACCTCGTACAAAAAAGCATTAATATATTGTCACATGCGATCCAATTTCAATCGATGTGAGATTGAACTGGAGATGCCGATTATCAATACAATCGCTCGAGCTATAGAGTAAAGAGGTAATAAGGGATGGTCGATTTCAATCTAACCATGGAAAGACCTTCGTGGTTACACGATCAATTCCAATGTGAGGCATCTTGTAGCATCTAGTCTTCTAGTCTTCCTTACTTTTAGGAGTTTGGTGTTCTCTTATATAAGAGCTTGTATGTCTCTGTTTTTTGCTTTGTTTCAAACTCTATGTTTGTCACTTTATTTAAAAACCTGCTTTTCATACGGCAAAAAGGAGCCAGGCATCAATTCGTTATAGCTTTCAATTATTTATTTTATGAAATTCCTATGAACTTTTTCAATAGGTTCTTTTAATCATTCAAATGAAAAATATTTGGTTTGGTAGAATAATTAGAAATCAATTTATAAAAGATCGTCATCCAATGCTTATATTTTATAATTTATACGCATTCTCTCAAAAACGATATATGTTTATGTTTGACTTTGAACAGATATATTTTATCAACTGGTAGAACGTTAAACGTCAAAAAAAAAAAAAATGTTAAAGACGAGTCAAGTTTAGGATGCTTATCAAAATTAATACCTTATACTAAGCAAGTATAGAAAATACTATTAAATTTATCGTTTTAACTAAGAGAAAAAAAAGTATGTTTTTTTTTTAAAGTAAAAAAAAAGTATGTTGGTCATAGAAACATTAATTTTGCTAAACATAACAATATATTCTTTAGTACACACCGCTTTGATTTGGTCTTTGTGTCTTCTTAATAGTTTTTTTGTTATTAAAATTGTATTGCGCCATACCAAACAAACTGATAAGAAAATACACATATTGCACGAAATGTGGTCCAAAAACATTAATTATATGGATAAGGCTTTAACTTATGCATTTTGAATAGATTAAGTTTTTCTTAGTTAAAAACAAAAGAACAAATGAAGTGCCATTCGCATGAACCTTTCTCGAGATAGCTTCTAACTAGTTCTTCCGTTGTAAGTAATTGTTTCACGCAATGTACATACCACATTAATAAGGATTTTATTTCAAGTATGCATGCGTTGTATATTTATCTCAAAATACAATGTGTATCTGAATTTTGAGATCCGTTGGGTGCAAATAGTTGTGATTAAAGACCATAGTTTTGACTCGTAATAGTTTTGATATGCACACCATGTCACCATGTTGGCATTTAGCATACGTACACTCATACACGTACGTCAACAAAGAGATACGTCATAATGTGGAGAAAGCAGCATTACAAAGAATCGTGAAGCGTACCAGAATACAATTGAGCTTTAAAGGAACCCTAAACCAAAGAACCATAGCCACTAAATTTAATTTTAAGAAAAAAAAAGGAAACATAATCATGATTTTAGGCATATGGTACATATACAAATCCAGTAAACGTATAGTGATATTGGCTAGACACAAAAATATTTCAAAGTATTTCTTTACAAAACAGATCCGTGCTGACTGGTAAATTTATTGTGCTTTGTTTGATTTGAGTTTCAATGCTTTTGACATTTTCCTTAGCCTTTTGACCTGACTATACGGTCCAC